CTCAAAGGCAAATAGAATGGTATAATTTTTTTGATATCTTTGGTGGGTTTAAAATCGCGCTAGAAAGGATATATCAATTTGGTTGATTTTAGCTTCTGAAACTCAAATTTTATAGCAAGGAGATTGATAACGAAATTGAGCGCCAGTGTAAATTTTAGACCTGAATTCTATATTATGGATTCATATAGCTAGAAGGGCTTCTGGCCTATGATTGGAATCTTTCTGGATATCTTTTTCGAATTTGACCCTAGAACCCCCAATTTTGCTCTACTTAAATTTAATATTTTTATTTTTATTTTTAAAAAATTTTTAATATTGCATGATAATAAATTTAAAAATAATCAATAACAATAATAATTATACAATCAGTGATGACTAAATTTAACTAAATAATAATTTTTACCAAAATTATAAAAAATCTGAGCTGGTATTTTGAACCCAGAACTGGTTCGAAAAATTCTAAACTTATTTTTTCCAGTCTAAATCCAACCTGAAATCCAAGTCTATATCAGGTTTCTGCATCAGATCCAGGTCTCTATATATTTATCTTTAAAAAAAATTACTAGTTAATTACTTTTTTTTTTTTACTAAGAAAATATCATAAAATTTATTATAATTTTTTTAATAATATATTTTAAAATATTTAAAAATAATTAAAATTATTTAAATTAATAAATAAAATTGCTTACAAATTTGTAACCAAAACAATTAAAAAAAATTTACTTATATATTATTTAAATATAAAAAATATTATACTTATTTAATAATTTAAATATAATTTTTATAAGATAATTTAGATAATTTAAATTATTTATTATTTTAATTTTCTAATTTTTAATTAGATTTTTTACAAAATATTTATTTGTAATTATTTTATTTTTATTTAACATTAGTAAAAAAAAAAAAAAATAGATATTTATAAATAATATCCTATCCAATCAATATGTTTAATAAGAAAAAACTTTAAAATAATAATTGTTATAATAACATTTTATAAGCATTATTCTATACATAATTAATAATAATTCTTTTCTTACAAATACACTTAATACATTATATACCTAACGCAAGTTAATTATAATGATATTTAATATAAAATTTAACTAATGATATTTTATATTAAATCTTTATAATTAAATTTGTTCAACTTTTGAAATTATCAATATTACATATCTATGAGAAAAATGTGGTTATATAATAGAGAATATAAAGTTCTATTTTCCCCTCGATATTCTTTGGGACGGCATTATTTCGTAAGAAATTAATCAATGACAATATCTGTTGACAAATAGGATTTCATTTACGGTTATTCTATAGTTACCCCTTAAAATATAGCCCTTTGCCGGGGGAAACCAATCAATGGATGTTCTCAATCAATCATATTTAGAACACTAACTAATTTTGAATTTGTCGGCAGTTTCCCCCCTTTCCATTGCCCTTAAAAAGGTGGAGGTAGGTTACACGGGTGACAATGAAGTAATGTGGTTGAAATCTTTTGTCAATGGTCAAATGCAGTTCGTGATTATCATATGAGCGGCGCAGCAGTGAAAATCAATTTTCGGAAAAAAGCTAATTAGGAAACTGGAAATCACGTGTTATACATTTTTCTTTAGCCTTGCATCTATTTTTTTGGCATATTATAGGTCATTTTCAATGAATCTTTTATCTGTAATCGTGTACATTACAATAGGATGACTTTTGTAAAAAATAAATTTGTCAGTTCAATGTTATTAGAAACTTTTTGAGTAAAACTCAAATGATTTTCTTGACCAATTATTTCCGTGAATTCTTTCGAATTTCATTTCATTTGTGTAATTATGTTGTCCAAGCTTTGAATATTGATTTTTGAACATTCTGTATATAATAATATATTGTTTGTTATATAGTCATGAATTCGTACAAATGATGAAAACAGTATGGTAAATAAATTTTCACAAAATTACATTCTTTTTTTCCTCTCTCTTTCTCACACTCTCTCTGTGGAATGATAGATAAATTAATAAAGATTATTAACTTAAAATATACCGAATTCCTAGTGCTTTGAAAATAAATACAATAAATAAAACATCATCTACTAAAAGTAAAAAAAAAAAAGATAATTAATCTTTATTTATTATATTTATACTATATATGAGCATACTAATTAAGTAAAATATATATACGTATTTATAGAAAGAAAAAAAGAAAATATTGTTGGTTTATACAAGCTAAAGTACAGCCCATCTATAATCAATTACTGACAGGTGATACATGTGGTAGCTGGTTCTACCATTCCATATTGTCTGTTTCCCAACTATCCCACCCATGTGTGTTGCCAGCCCAGTCTGTCGTTGGAGTATCCCAGTCTGTTGTTGGAGTATCCCAGGAATGGTTTTCACGCAAGTTGATTACTTCATTCTCATCTTCCTCGTCGTCGTCATCATCAGCATCGCCCCAACCACCAGTATTCTCATCGTATTCCATTTCAACGTCCCAACTAGAAAAGTTAAAGTGTAAACCACCAATAATTTCAGAGATAGACAAATCGATATCACTGTCTGACATGTATCTGAAATTGCTTGAAAGATATGATCTCTTCTTTCGTTTGATAGGAGGTCCCAAGTTGCATCTCGTTCCATCAGGATTAGCATGCTGATAAAAGCAAGCATCAGCAAAAGGGCATGTTCTAGATTCTTCAAAGTATTTACAAGGGATACGAGAAATTTTTTCTTTATACGTTGAAATTATTTGATCCTTTTGAGTTCCTGATTTTGCAAAACGAGGTGATGGGACAATGTATGGAGAATTCTTTCTGCACACGGGACATGTCTTGGTGGTATCAACATCTTGAAAAGGACTTGAGACGTTACTTGTTTTGCGCCATTCTTGTATACAATTGCGACAAAATATATGATCGCATTGTACAAGCAATCCAAACATTTTAGGAGTTTCGTAGCAAATAGCACATGTATACTCCTCTTCAACAACCTCTTTTGCTTTTTGTTTGTCTTTTGGATTTTTCAAGTCATTTTTCTGACTACAATTAGTGCTAGTAGAACTCTCTATATTAGTGTCATTCTCGGGTTTTTCATGTCTATTCCAACAGGACTCTCCAAACATACAACGATTTTCCAAGAAGAATCTGCAAATCGGTGAATCTTCAGGAGCACTCTTATTTCTATGGCGGCTCGAGTTAGAATTTGGCTTATGCGACGTTGAGGAAGAACTTTCCCCATTACTCTGGTTGGATTGTGCAGTATCCTCACTGTTACTATTGCTTTGAGAACTACTACTATCTTCTTGTATGTGCAAAAAATGACAACTTTCCCCTCTGTTACAATTTCCGTTAACAAAATACCTGCAAATTGGACGTGAAGGATTCGAGTTCACTGAATTAACTCTTTGAGAAGACATGATCAATAAGTCTAATGAGAAAGAATAGTGAAGGGTTTATTATTATTTAAATAGGAAAATTTAATTTTTTCATGAGCAGCGAAAAAAAAAAAAACTATTGTGGCTATATCAAACCTATATCACACAATGTTAAAATTATAAATTCCGCGGAAATTCCGGAAATTCCGGAAAAAATAAAAAGAATTTTTAGTTCAATGTTATAAAAAAAGAAAATTTTTTTAAACTTGAAAATATTTAAATGCATATATATATGAATGCTTATCAATTTGAAAAAACGTAATAGCCGAAATCGGATAAAAGTTATAATATCCATCGATTTGTCCAACGAACCAAATTTATTTTGTTTCGAAAATGTTATAATGCATAAAATATTTTAGTTCGTAAGAAATATACAATTTTATCTTTATCAACTCAGGTTACATCGGCTGATCAATTTGATCAATTGAAATTTGGATTATTGTTAAGGAGGCGATGCATTTATTCATCCAATCATAGATTAATATCACATCTAAATTATGAATATTTTATTTTAAGACATTTATCTATTTGAATAATCTAATAATGTAAATATGATATGTATAAATATATTTTAATATATTTTTTATTAATTTATTATTAGATATTTTATGTTTATTAAGAAATTTTGATAAAATAATCAATTTTAAAACAAAGCTTCAGATCAATTTTACACATAGATACAATTGGAACTTTAATTATATAATTTTTTGTTTTTTTCTTACAAAGTCAATAGTGATAGATAACAAATTTATAAGCAACGAGCCAGCTCGTTTAGGCTCGGCTCGAGCCACCATAAAACGAGCCGCGAGCCAGGCAAGCCGGCTTGTGCCGTGGCTTGGCTCGATACAAATATTCGAACACAATTAAAGCATTAACAATGTATATATGTATATTAATTAATTAGGACGCAATCATTTTAATTTAATAAACTCTCTTGTTACATTTTCTATAGTCTATTTTATTACTTAATTTTGTTACGTTTTCTATAGTCTATTTTATTACTTGATTTTGTTACGTTTTCTATACTCTATTTTATTAAGATTATTTAAGAATTTGCTTGTGTTACATTTTTTGGGCCTGGCTTCATTATTTGACTAAAAAAAAATTGTGTTCCAAAAAAATTTTTTTCCAATTCATCCATTCGTGTAACCATTTTCAAGAAATAGCGATTTAAAAGAGGAAGAACTTCACTACGAACCTCTTCACTAAAAATACTAATATTTCAGAAAAGAGAGCTGAAGTGGAACGCATCCTTCCTACATGTGATGATAATGAAGAGGTGGTTGCTTATTTCAAAGATCTCTTAAAACCTGGTATGTTCGCTCTTTGCTTGTCATATTTGCAAAATACTGAGTACTTACTTATTCTTTTGATTTTCTTTCCTGCTTCTTATCTTCAACCCCGCCCAAGAAAACAAATTCAAAATTTCCGTAAAACAAGCTGTTGTCACCGGTAAGTGAGGTAATAAATTAGTCAACGCGAGCGAACGCGTCCTTGTTGATTCTTTTTTATAATATTAAATATTCCAAACTTATACTGATCCTTTCGCTTAACTTATCTGAAAGATGATAATCTGACGAAATTTATACGATCTTTGAGAAATACGACATTTGATGCAGAAAAAAGTGATATTTTCAAACTGAACAAGAATACCAAATTTTTTGGACTAAGTAATGAAACATCAAGTCCGTTTATTCGTAAATGCTACGGTGATCTGCTCGATGTCGTTCAAAATAATAAGAAAATTGTGAATCTCTGGTAATTCTGGAATCGGAAAAACTTTTTTCGGTTATTACGATCTCGTGAAAATAATGCAACAATTGTATACAATCTCCATACTATGAAAAATAAAGTTATTTCTTTAATGGGAGTAGTGGCTTCTATCTTAACGAGATGCTTGATCATAATGCTATAAGAAATTACCTGTATAACGAAAATACATGGTATATTGTGGGCTGTTGCTAAGACGATCCTTATTTGCTCACCAAGGAAGGACCACTGACATGACTTTGATAAGAGTAACCCAGATATTCGAATCATGCCAGCTTGGACCTGGGAAGAAATTGATTATTGTAGGCAAAAGTCAATCATCTTAAAAAGGAATTTGTTTAGCAGTTATATTTGAAATGGGGAGGGATCCCTCGGTATATTTTACAGAGTGCTCAAAAATATTCAATTCACTTAAGCTCAAACAAGCGATTGACTCTTGCGATGAAAGAATATTAGAATGTATTGGCGGAAGCGATAGCGATCAAGACGTGAGTCACAAGCTCATCCATATATGGACAAACGTGAATAATTATATTATGGACATAAAGGGTAAGAGTAGCATTGAAAAGGATAAGAGAAGTATTAAAGACGAAGTCAAGTACATTGATAAAGGAGAATACTACACGCAAACAATTATAAAATTTGCATCTAACTACGTAGGTGAAAGGGTGACTAAGAGACTCAAAAATCATATAATGAACCGATTACAGTCAGAAGTGGAAGCAAGTACATATTCCTTTTTACCATCTTTTAGAAGTAAATCTACCTGAATTTCTAAATTGTTATCTTCAACTGTAGCATAAGTTTTTCATATCTAAAATAAATAAATCATTAATTAATTAAATGAATTTTATTGTAAATAAATTATTACTGTATTTATAATAAAATATTTTATTACTCGGTCATCTTTACAATTATTAAGCCGTCATTTTGCAGTTAAACTTCTATATATAAAAATAATTAAATATTATTGTATAATTTAATTTTACAAATAATAATAATTTGTCACCTTTAAAAGATGATTACCTGATCTTCTTTATACACTCAATTCCAAGTTTTGATAAAATAGTATTTAAGAAATAATTTACAAAGTCAACAACATAAAACTCAAATTAGTTTTTATGTAAATATGAGAAAATCTCAGCTTAAATATCTTTATTCTTTAAAAGACTTTAATTTTAGAATGTTTTTCTTAAAATAGTTTTTAAGATTTTAACCTATTTCTGAATTGATTATACAAGAGATAAAATTGCTTACATTTTTAATTTATTAAATTAAAGATATTGTAAAACTGCTATTAATATCAATAAATTTAATAATATAAAGTATTATTTAAGCCCTATATCTCATAATTTTATATAAAATTAATTTATCAAAATATTTATATATATATAATACTTTTATATTTTATAATGCATAATAATTCAATATTTTATAATGCATATAATTTGATATTTTACAATATATAATAATTTAAAGTTTTACAATGTATAGTCTTTAAAGATTTATGATATATAATTTTTCAAAGGTTTATAATATGTAATTCTTTAAAGTTTATAATGCATAGTACTTTAATTGTTTATGATATAAAATTCTTCAAAGTTTATAATGTATAATTTTTTTATAGATGCATTTACTTCAGTTAGATCTGATAGAGATTAAATTAATACCTTATACTTGCTAAACTTGAGGTCTTACAACTGCTAAGGATATACGTAACTATCTTATATACATCTATTTAAGGACTATCATTTAGTAATTGTAGTTCACTTCACTCAGATTTGATTCTGAAATTCACTTAATTAACACCCTATATTAATTTAGTTATTAGAATTAGATAGAAGGTTGATTTACTTCAATTATAGTAATTGACAATTACTATCTTTACTAATCTAATTTATAAAAGTTTATCCTATTAATAATTATTGAGACTGTGAGATTAGGTTTTTTACATAGACAATAACATAGTATCCATAACATCAAAATCACCTAAAAATTGAATCTGACCTATAACCTTACTGAATAATATGATTTAACTCAGATCTATGACATACAATACAGTTTATTGTATTTAAGACACTCTAAATCTACTAATTACTAATTAATTACTTTCTTACTTATATAAGAATTCCTGAGTTTAAAGACATAAGATAGTATTCATTATAGACCTATCAGTGAAGGTCAAGTTTCTATCAATCTCTGATTTTATATATTTTTTAAATCCAGTATTTAGGCATGATAAATATCAATTAATACATTGATTAATCAGTTATTAGTATATATATTCACATATTCAGTTATATATAAAAGTTTAAATGTATAATAATTTAAAGATTTATAATAGAATTTTATTATTTATATCCTAATTATTGATAATTAATTTTAAAATATTTTAGTAAATTCTTATTATCTGAAATATAGGAATAGAATATTTTTAGTTAATACTAAAATTATATATGTAATATTTACTTCATATATGATCTATGAAATCATGTAATAAACATAATATTGTGATTAAGTGTAGATCTTAATAATCATAGATCTACAAATATATAGCGAAGTATAGAATGTCAAAAATATCAAACATATTAAACATATTTAACATATTTAATATAGTTAATATGTTTGATATGTTTAATATAGTTAATATATTTAATATATTTAATATATCAATATAATAGATATAAATACAAGCTCTTTCTCAGTTAAAAAAGACAAACTGACAGCTATATAAAAATTTCTCTTGTAAAAGATAGTGCAATGCTACTCTTCTACCTTATATACTCCTCTTATTTATTTCTTTTTCTTATTTTATTATATCTTATTTTTCTTCTTATTTCTTTTTATTCAAATAAAGCATTTCTTATTTTCTATTATAAAAACTCTGTGTATTACTACATAAATTTTAACTTGTGAACAAAACCACTCACATTTAGTAAACTCAACTCAACTTGATAAAGCTAGTAGTGTAACTGAATTAGATTGATAAATATAGTACAGTATGTTATAAATCTTAAATATCAAATATATCAGATATATTTGACATATAAGATATATTTGATATATCTGACATAACGGACATATTGGACATATTAGATATATAAAATATATTAGATATATTTGATTTGTTTGTTATATTTATCTATGTATTAAATTTAATATAAATAGAGAACAATAAAATCATGTAAACTTTAATTTGCTTTTAGTTCACTTTTAGTTTTCCTTTTAGTTTTACTTGAGATACACATTTAGTAGTTCTTTTAGAGGCACCTGACTTAACCTTTGCATTTAGTATATTAACTCTTTTAATTTTTCTTATTTTTTCTTATTTTCTTATTTTTTATTTTTTTATTATTTATCGAAAATAAACATATTGTTATACCTCTGAATCAATCGAGCTGTCTTGCTTTTAGTCTCATTGAAAGTACACTACTGTGTAAATTATAAATCTGAGTTAAACTGAATTGAGTCACTACGTAAACTTAAAAAATCACCACTCGAACACCCTGTCTAACTGTTATAATTCGTAAGAATTATACATTAACAGTAGTAAAATAACTAAGATTTAGCATGAAACTGATTAGAATTATACATGAACTATAAAAAAGTTAACTTTTTGACATTGCGTCTAATAGTTACAATCTGAAAAGATTACATATTAATAATATTGATTTGTGATTAGCTAAATTTTAAATATAGTTGATCACCTAATTTGAATGTTTTAAATACTTTATAGTTTTTATTACTTAGTTTATTTACATAATATATTTTTATTAAAAATTTATTAATGTTATAATTTTTTTTACTAGATAAGAAAATATTTTTTTCTATTAATTAGCTTTATTAATTCTATTATAATCAAAAAACAAAAAAATCTAATATAATTGTTACATTTTTAAAAATATTTAAATAAAGAAAGATTTTGATAAAATAAGTCAAAAATACATAAATTTATATAATATTAAATAAAATAATAATTATAATAAATATAACTTATATTATTAAATTAATTCTTTATTAATTTTATTATTATATTTATTATTGTATTTATTAATTACCTTTATCATTAGATTTGTTATTATTAAATTCATAAATAACATTTTATCAATGATATGATTAAAAATATTTGAAATATTTGAAATAATAGTTTAGATATTTAAGATGTTACTTTTAGTATTATTATTATCAAGTTTTTCTAAACAAAAAAATTATAAGTTAAAATATTTAACCTATTTATAAGATCAAAAATCTTTTATAATAGTTAAATTATTTAGTATATTTATAAGATTATAAAAACTTACCAAAATTTATTTGCAATTTAATAATACTTTCTAAAATTTATATAGAAAATTTGCTAAAAAAATAGAATTCTGAAAATTTTTTGTTTTTATTGCATTTTAATTTTGATGTTATTAAATTAAAATGTAATAATGTCTTAATTTTAGTCAAAAAATTTTTTAAAGTTCCATTTTTCTAACAAACTTCCCATATGTATTATTTAAAAAAATTTTACAAATGATAATAGCATAAGCTATTTAAAATAATATTTTCTTTTTAAATTTCAAATTTTATTCAATATATGAGTTAGATAAATGATTTATTTATCTTTTTTTATTAAAATAAATAATTTATTTTGATATTCTTTTAATTCTTTTAAACTTTTTTTAATTTTAAATCTTTATTATATTTGTATTTATATTAATTTATAATAATTAAATCTTACTAAATACTATAAAATTGAATTCTTAATTCATAATATTAAGATATCACAGAAATTCTAATTTTATTTTAATAGCTATTAATAAAAATTGAAAATATATAAAGCTTATTATATTTATATTTAAATGAGCATACTTATAGTATGATAAATATATTTTTCATAAAAAGATATCAAATGATTTTAAGTAAATTTATCAAAAAATTTAAAGTGATTTGCTAATAAATATTTTTTTGTAATTTCTTATAGTTCTTTTTGTATTAATATTAATATAATTAATATTTTTTTTACTATATTTTTAATCAGATTCTATAATAAAATAAATTAAAATAAAATATAATAAATATCAAAATGTAGATTAATATATAATATATATTAGTATTTTTTCATAAAAAAATATAAATCAAAATAATATAAACAATATTTTTATTTTTTCAAAAATATTATCAAAGTCTATATACTTTATATAATTTTTTTTTTATTTTTATGATTCTTTTTATCAGTTTTTTTTAACCTAATATAATTAATTTTTTATATAGTTACATTTCTTAAAATTAAAAAAATTTGGTATAATTATAAAAAAATTATATAATATAATTATAAAAGAATTTTTAATAAGTTTATTATTAACTTTAACCTAATAAAATATACTTATAAGGGAAAAGTAATTATATAAGAGATGATTATATAAAGAATTAATTGCATTAATATATTAAATTTAATATTAAGTCTTATATTTTAATTTTTAATATATTTTTTAATATTTTATCAAAATTTTATATAATAAAATAAAATATTTTTTAAAAAAGTTTATATGTATATCTTTTAAAATAACTTAAATTTTATATTTTATATACTTTTAACAGATTATATATTAATATTTTTTTTTAAATTTTGAGTTTTTTATTTTTTTGCTTAATCTAGCTTATTTATGAATTTGTTAAATTAAAACTTACATTCTGTTCATTTTAAATTTTTAAAAAAAAAAATAAAATAAAATTAAATTTATATTATATATAATTAATATTAATAAGATTTTATTAAAATAAAAAT